TTAATACACTGCATGCAGAACCATTCTTGCATAGGGCAATGCTAGGGGCACTCGCTTTTCACACTCTCCGGCAAAAACTTTCTCTTTCATTGGGCCACGTTATCTTGGTTCCCGAGAAGTTGCGCTGAAAGCTTTAAAGAAGTTTACGTGGCCCAATGAAAGGGAAAGTGTTTGCCGGAGAGTGCGAAAAGCGAGTGCCCCTAGCATTGCTCTCTTGCGTATCCATTCTAAGAGGACAAGTGTAATACGCTTTCCATCACAAGACAAAACGCAAGAACCCTTTTCACACACATACCCGCTGTCACAGCCATCATGGGTCAAATATTTTTTTAATTATGGTCGGTCAAACAATTTTTTAGATGTGAAAGGAATATTTTTACTTTATTATTGGCCATCACAATTAGGAGGTGACAGTTTCTACTGCGGAGGAGTATTTTATTTTCCCTTTAAAAGAAAAAATTTAAATGAGATTTTGAATTTAAATTCACAACACTAATGAGGTGAATAAAAGAATAGATAATGTAAAATAAGATATTAAAAGGTGTTTGTTTTAATTTTTTTTATAAATAATTATTAATTATTAATTAAATGAGTTAAATATTGTAAATTATAAATAATAATTATGATCAATTATTAAATATTAATTATTAATTATTAATTGTATGAAAAAAAATTAATCTAATCAACCCCTAAGACGTTATGGCACTTAAATTAGGTCTAAGTACATTTGGTAACATTAATGATTTGTTGATTCGAGTGGAAGGAATTTGATTCATTTTAAATAAAATCTCGAGTTCGACTCTTGTGAATGGAAAAACAGGTGCTGGGAGAATTTCTCCCAAAATGAGATCCAATGCAGTTCGATTTCAAATTAGTCGAGATGTAATGTGATTACCGGATACCGAGAAGTTAGTAAAACAAAAAAAAAAAAAGGTACATTTGGCAACAATTATGGCCACTTAACAAATTATTGGGATTACTTAAATTTTAAAATTTTGTCTTTTGAAATATTAATTTAGTTTAATTTGACAATTTTAAATAATTAATAACTATAACGATTAGTTAATAAATAACAAAACAATTCAATATCATGTTACTTAAACATAAGAATTCTTATTTTTACTAGAAGAATATAATCATTTAATTATTTATATTGTTAAGTATCTGAAAAAATTCTAAATAAAAAATACCTATTGTTTTAAAAGATAGTATTTTAAAAGTTTATTTTGGATAGCATATTTTTAACTATTAGTAAAAGAGAATTCCTGAATGCGGGGACATCCTCGCTAATCAATAGCTCTCTTTGTGCAGCTGTTAGTACTGAATTTCATATTTTATTTTACCTTCAAAATTAAAATTTAAAAAATAGCTGTACAAACAGTTTTGAATCATTCATGATATTAAATTGGTGGGCACGTCCTAGAAACAATTAGCATCATCCATGATGCAATAAGCTTAAAGAGTGAAGAATCTAATGATGGAAAATGGGATGCAACTTGTTAGGTCCCTACTCTTATCTTAATAAATCACAAAAATAATTTTCAAGAATGTGAATCTAAGGCAGTTCTAATTAATTAAGCTAAGTGTTTAGGATTTTTATTGATCAACCGTCCAAAAATTAATATAATCCTAATTAATTCAATAAAAGTAACAAAAGAAATGCATGCGATTGCGAACCCCATGACCCTACCGAACATCTTACCCAAAAAAGTGGGCATAATCTATCGTTAACAAGTTAATAGTAAAAAAAAAATTATTTTTTAACATGTGTTTTTAAAATTTAAGTTAAAGATGTAATTTATACATTTTTTATATCAAATAATATTAAAAAAATAAATATTGACAATTAAAATAATTTACTGTGATATTAATAATAAAATTAATATCAATTCTTGTATTTTTTTAATATTGATTCATGTTAAAAAAATATATTAATTATCATTTTAATTTAAGAGTACACGTTAGAAAAGAATTGAGATCCAGCCCTTCTGGAGTTCTGGGCCTTCTGGCACATTTCTGTTTTGTGTTCAAGGCTTACGGGCTTAAGAACAAGAATCGAGTCCAACCCAACCTGAGAACCGTCAGGATCGAAACGACGTCGAATGCTCCCCAACTAGTTTGACAATAAAGCCGCTGTTTATCTCCGTAAAACAGACGCAATCTGAACCGTCGATCTATTGGTCCACACGAAAAACGGTCGGTTGAGATTCGTTTACTCTTCTGCAGAACCAGCGCATTTCTCCTCCATGTCCATAGCTACTCCTCGGTGACACAGAGCGAGAAGAAGTGAAGTGATTGGGTGCTCCGTAACAATCGAAGATGTTCCTACGCGTGATATCCCGGCCGTTGATGGCGAAGGTGAAACAGACGACGGGGATCGTCGGACTGGACGTGGTGTCGAATGCCAGGGAGGTGCTGATCGATCTGTACACCAAAACCCTAAATGAGATCAAGGCCGTTCCCGAGGATGAGGGATACCGTAAGGCGGTGGAGAGCTTTACAAAGCAGCGGTTGAAGGTGTGCCAAGAGGAGGAGGACTGGGAGACGATCGAGAAGCGCTTGGGATGCGGCCAGGTTGAGGAGCTCATTGAGGAAGCCCGCGACGAGCTCACTCTCATCGGAAAAATGATTGGTCCGTATCATTTCCTTTGTTCTTGAATCTTAATGTTTAGCGACTGTAGGAGATTGGTTCTGGCATTCGAATTATGCTGAATGTGAAATACTAAGTTGTGAACAATAATGTTTGGTGTTGCTTTATGAATGGGATAAAATTTAGCATCTGAGAACTTTTAGAAATGAAAGACTCTAGAACTTTCATCATTCCTCTATGTCAGCACTCTCAAAATTGTATGGATTGAGCATTGGTTTAATATTATATGGATGAAGAGCAATTTGGGGAACTGCTTGATATTGTCGTAGGAAGAAATATGGCTGAGAGAAAGTAACCATCTCTTAACCCTATATGTAGTCTAGAAGGGACAATGGAGTTTGAATTATGGTGTGAGGGAAGGTGTTACTATTTGAATGGTATGTTGCTATAATCATTTGTTAACATCTTAGGTGGATTCTTAATGACCTGTTACAAGCCTAATCTGTGCTTAAGCTTAGCTGAAGACTGGGATAGCCCGTGGGAGGGGTTAAGTGGCTATAATTCTTGCAGTTGAGGGTTCTTCTTTGTTTGACTTATGAGTTAGTTGAGTCGGAACATGCGAGCTGCACATTGCTTCTCAGTAAGGTTTCTATCAGTTTTGTCTTCTAGTCAACTCTAATGTTAGGAGAATCATGTTTTATTAAGAGTTAGTGAGTATTGCTGGTTGTAGCTATTTGCATGGCAAGTTTTGCGGGTTTTCATAGGAACTTGAGCAATAGATTGACCAACAGCATTGCTGCCTTCATACTTTTTGGTTCCTGGCAAAAATTCTTAGGTTGTGTTTGAATGAAGGATTTTTAGGTTGTGTTTAAACAAAAAATTATCCTTTTTTAAATTCTGCCTAATGGATTGTTTTTTGAAATCCCTCAAAATCCTCATTTTTCTCTTCCTAGAACACACTCTTCTCACTCTTTGACAAAATAGTCATTTAGAAAGGAGTTTGAAATTCTTCTCCTCACCTGAAATCCCTCCTAAAAATCCTTCATCCAAACTCAACCTTAGGAGACTGGAGGCTCACTTTTTCTTTTAAAGGTGTATATTTGACAAAATCTTCTTATTGTGTGCATTTCCTTCTTGAATATTGCTTTGTGCTAAATCTGTTTAGTTAATTTAGTTTCTGGTTTGACTGTTGCCAAGCTGTGAAATGATGTTGCATTTCTACCACAAATTAATTTATTCTGTGATGGTTGTTTGATTGTGGTTTGAGACAATTTTCAAGTAGGATTTCCCTATATTATGCATTTAGTTAACATGTATTTCATGCTTTGTTGGTTGGCAGAGTGGGATCCTTGGGGTGTTCCCGATGACTATGAATGTGAGGTTATTGAGAATGAGGCTCCAGTTCCTAAGCATGTTCCTCTACACCGACCTGGTCCTCTGCCTGAAGAGTTTTACCAGACACTGGAAGCTGTTACCAAACAAGACACACCTAAAATCACATCCACTGAGTCACAGTCAAAGGAGTAGCATGCTTCTGATAAACAGCTGGAGGAATTCAGGTTTTCATAGCTGAGCTTGCTGTTTTCTTCTTGTTTTCTTGTTTATGTGATGTTTATCTTGTATCAGGCCTGTTTTCTTAATTGAATAGAGTTCAATGTAAGACTGATATTGGAACCTTTCCATTGCTAATAATCTTGCGACAGCCAGAAATTACAAGAATTATGTGGTTACTGTTTCTTTTGCTCTTTTAGAAATGATTGAGAATTTGAAATGATGTTTGGTTTAAGTATGTTCTGGCCTCTATGTGTCCATGTCAACTCAGGACTTGGAGCTTTGAAGGTGTTGGGCCAGAGTAGCGTAAGAATTTTAGCACCACAAAGTAGATACTACTGCTTAAACGTGGGTACTAGCAACTTTATGGAATGACTGTGAAGTTGCTTCCCAGTTTCCACTGTGCCCAAACTAGGTAGCAATGTAGACAGGATCTGGCTAGGTTAGATTTCATTGACATTAACATCCTCATTATTCATGTCAGATTATATGCAATTGCAGCTCATGATGACCCATCTGATTCATTCTTGTAGCCAGACTTGTGCGTGACTGCATCTTGCCAGGCATCATGAAGCATGCCAAGATTACGTGCAATTCCAGCTCATGATGACCCAATTGATTCATTCTTGCCGCCAAAATTGTGTATGTGAGTGCATCTCTGTGACTTATCTAGCTAGCTATATGACCCGCATCATGAAGCATGTCTAGTCATGCATGATTATCTGGAAAAGCATATCCTGCAGCTAGTTTCTCTCTAGGTCCAATAAAATGACTTTCGGTGAGCTCATTGCTTTAATTGCCGTCTGGTTATATTATATTGTGCTCGAGTAGTTCACATACATATCAACAAGTGCATTTCCAGTGGAAGCATTCTCTTTCAAACTAGCCCTCTCATCCTTTCCAATTCAGCCTCTGCGGTCTGTTTGATTTGCTCACCTCTTGCAATGGAGGAAGCTATAGTTCTCTACCCGTCTCCCCAAATCGGCCACCTGATATCCATGGTGGAACTGGGCAAGCTTATACTTAACCATCAACCTTCACTCAGAATCCACATCCTTAACCCTCCTCCACCCTACGGCGTTGACTCCACTGCTCCATATATATCTGCCGCCTCCGGCACCATCCCTTCTATCACCTTCCACCAGCTCCCTACCATCACCCTCTCCACCTCCTCGTCTCGCCACCATGAGTCTCTTGTTTTCGAGACCCTTCTCCTCAACAATCCTAATGTCCACAACGCTCCTGTCTATCTCCAAGAATTACAACATAAGGTCCTTCATAATGGACTTCTTCAACACCCCTGCATTTGATGTAGCTTTTACTCTTAATATCCCTGCTTACTACTTCTTCACCTCCGGTGCTGGAGCTCTTGCTTTACTTCTCTATATTCCCACCATCCATAAGAACACTACCAAAAGCTTCAAAGATCTTGACGCTATTCTTGATTTCCCTGGTATTCCTCCAATACCATCATTAGATGTGCCAAAGCCTTTTCTTGAACGCGAGGCTGAGATCTACAAATGGTTCTTGAATGTTTGCATTAGCTTACCGAAGTCTGCAGGATCATAGTGAACACCTTCGAAGAGCTAGAGCAAGACCTCTGAAAGCCACGAGGGATGGACAGTGTGTGCCGGACGGCCCCACAGCTCCCATTCATTGCGTTGGACAGTTGATTGCTACAAGTGATCGCGGCGGCGGCTCTACTAGTGACAGTATTTCTCAGTGCTTAACGTGGCTTAACTCGCAACCGAGTAAAAGCGTTGTGTTCCTTTGTTTTGGCAGCTTAGGATTGTTCTCTGTGGGACAATTGAAGGAAATAGCTGTAGGATTGGAGAAGAGCGGGCAGAGGTTTTTGTGGGTGGTGAGGAACCCACCTACGGAGAACCCAAGCGTGGACATCAAGGCACCATCCGACCCGGATTTGAATTCATTACTCCCAGAAAGGTTCTTGGAAAGGACTAAACAAAAAGGACTGGTGGTGAAATCATGGGCACCGCAGGTAGAAGTACTGAATCACGACTCAGTTGGTGGCTTCGTGACTCATTGTGGGTGGAACTCGATTCTAGAAGCGGTGTGTGCGGGAGTTCCGATGGTAGCATGGCCTCTGTATGCGGAACAGAGGTTGAACAGGGTGTTGCTTGTGGAGGAAATAAAGATAGCTTTGCCGATTGTGGAGTCAGAGAATGGGTTTGTGAACTTGGCTGAGGTGGAGAAGCGAGTTAGGGAGTTGATGGAATTTGAGGAAGGTAAGTCTATCAGAGAGCGAACTGTGGTCATGAAACATGCCGCCAAGGCTGCTTTGAGTGAAGGAGCTTCATCTCATGTTGCATTAAACAGACTCATTAGGTCATGGAAGCAAAAATAATTAAACTATGCCATTATCATTCTTCCCAAAAGGAACAAACTGGAATGATGGTATTGCTATGGAAGCCTCTGGAATAGCTCCTTTGAATTAAGAGGAATCAAAGATGGAGTACATGGGAAGAACTTAATGTGCCCCATGTATATTTAATAATATGGCAGATTTTTTTTTTCTATTGATATGGATAGTTGTTAGAAGTTATAAGTTAAGTTAATACCTTACTCATGGTAAGGTTCGATCATTGGTTAAGGGTGTAATCCAGTGGCAATCTCGTTGGATTACAGTGGTCACCGATGGACCACAACAAGAGAATGCAATATAACGAATATTTATTATTTACTATCTCGTTCCCAAAACAACTATTGTTTTTGAAGTTTTTCTTTAAATCAATGGTTTAAATATACTTTATATTTTTATTTATATTACTCTTAAAAAAATAAAAGATAAAATTAAATTTTTTGTGATAAGATAAATAATTAAAATAAATAAATAACAATAAATTAAAGTAAAAAAAAAAAAGATATATCTATGTCAAAAAATGAATAAACAGCAGTTTGTTTGGAATAAATTTAAA